TCTACCTGGGACTAAAATACCATTACAGACAACCAGGTTTGCTGTATCACTGCCAATGTGTTTATTGGTTAGAAGAGTAACCAATGAACATACCTTGCCATACATCGTCTTGAAAGCTGCCTTGATTTTTTGCCTTTGATCGTTGGAGCGATTGGACACAACATTAATGATAGCCTGCTCATCCGTGCCTAGGAAATAAAAAGGCAATTTCTTACAAGAAATTAAACATAATCCTCCAAAACTGTTCATTTTTACAATTTTTAGAGTTTTGACAAATACAGTGCAAATTTTTATACACATATATATAAAAATTAAAAAAAAATGTTGGCCAATATATATGCTTAAAGGGTACAGTTTTCAAAAGCACCAACTGAGAATTAGGAGTCTGAAATTTTTTTACCCAAGATCTATACAATTAGAAGAAAAGAAAAATGCCTTTAACTTTTTGGCTAATAAACATAAACTCTGTAGTAATCACTAAATACAGATCTTCTCTTACCAAATCCCTTCATAGCCTTGCGCAGTATTTCTGCATCCCTCCCAGCATCGAAGTTGGGCGCAGCTTGAATTGTGCCCTGAGTACTTTGAGTCATTGCTGCAGGCTAAGAGTGAACGAGTTATGCATTACCAGCCAATTTACATAATGCGAAGTACTAACTGAATGTAGTGTTAAACTTTACAGTTAATATTTCAGAGAGACACACAAGGAACTTGTCTAAGTTTTACCACACACTCCTGGGGAGAGGAACAACCTCTTAACAGTTAGGAAGGCATTTTATTGCAATTAACAGTCTTGATCCACTAGTGCTATATTAACACTGTTTTGCGCAGTTGCATTGCTGAGGATGTATTCTGGATGCAAACTCAGTGACCATTTAGGACAGAACTGTTCTTTCCAATACATGTTGCTGATCTCTAGGGAGTATTCTGGATGTAGAACTTTCACTGAAATCAGTGGGCTTTCCAAACAGACCACATGCAGAATACTGAAGAAAGCTGCTGTGTGGGTTAAAGAAGACTGTGACTCTTTTTGCATAGACACAGTTTCCAAAAGCAAGCTACTAGAGGGTAGATCCTTTCAGCCTAAGTAGCTGACCTGTGCACTGGGGATTCTGCAGGGGCTTAATAGAAAGGAATCCTCCTCTCAGAGCACACTGAATCATAGAATATCAGGGTTGGAAGGGACCTCAGGAGGTCATCTAGTCCAACCCCCTGCTCAAAGCAGGACCAATCCCCAATTAAATCATCCCAGCCAGGGCTTTGTCAAGCCTGACCTTAAAAACTTCTAAGGAAGGAGATTCTACCACCTCCCTAGGTAACGCATTCCAGTGTTTCACCACCCTCCTAGTGAAAAAGTTTTTCCTAATATCCAACCTAAACCTCCCCCACTGCAACTTGAGACCATTACTCCTTGTCCTGTCCTCTTCTACCACTGAGAATAGTCTAGAACCATCCTCTCTGGAACCACCTCTCAGGTAGTTGAAAGCAGCTATCAAATCCCCCCTCATTCTTCTCTTCTGCAGACTAAACAATCCCAGTTCCCTCAGCCTCTTCTCATAAGTCATGTGTCCCAGACCCCTAATCATTTTTCTTGCCCTTCGCTGGACTCTCTCCAATTTATCCACATCCTTCTTGTAGTGTGGGGCCCAAAACTGGACACAGTACTCCAGATGAGGCCTGGTGTGTCTGCTGCAGCTACTGATTCCCTTCTCTGGCCACATTAACCACCATTCAATCCACAAAATGGTGGATCCACTACCCCGTTCCAGTCCGTCCCTGGCCCACACTAATCTGTCCCAAATTACACTGGTAGTCCAAACAGAGCTGTGCTCCATGCTGTGCAGTCCCCACACGTGACAAATGATTGCACCAATTCCACTGCATCTTTGCACCACTATGCTCATACGGGTGGGGAATGCACAGGTATTTGCCCCCCTCAAAGGAAGATCATGGCTTCTTGCAGACTACTAGCAAGAGAAAAAATGTAAATGTTTTCTCATCCCCTTAGATCACAGGTGGAAAATCTCACATATAAACTACTTCTCATAATTCCCTGAATGAAAATGGGCAGAGCCTGATCTAAGTCATGGAGAGTAGGCAAGACTACATCATAGGCTAATTTTATCCTAAAGTTATATATATAATTCAGTACAGAAGAAAAAGTGCTGGATTACAATTTAATGTAAAAGTGTGAAGCTTTCTGACAAAATGTCCAACTCCTTTCAAAAATACTGACTATAAAATACACTAACTTTGTATTCTTTGAAAGAGAGGCTAATTGTGGTAAATGGTGCTGGGTAACAATCTAAGACACCTAGTGATCCATGCTAGTAAAGAACCCAAGCCCACCTATAGGATTGATTTGCTCTTTACATTTTGCATGCAGTACTAAGGAAACTGCAAGGGTTTCTATGGCATTACTGCCAATGTACCTTAGCTGTTATAAAGGAATAACCTCAGCATATATAGCCCTGCATGCACACTACCTAAAAATATACATGGGCATTTGTTTTGGTTACATGGAAGAGTGCCCTACTATAAAACAGTATCTGTTTGTGGGATTTGCTAAGCAATGTGCTTATATGGCACTTGTAATAAAAACAATCCAAAGGAGACCAGCTTAGTTGTTACTGTCTCTAGTGCACAACTACCATACACAGATCTCTTAAATAAGCAAGCAGTTTTTAATGTATACAGTAGTCAACTGAGCATCCTTAGAAACTTATGTAGTAAAGCAGCTAAACCAAAATGGGTGAACTTCACTTGCTGGCAAAGGCCCTCTTTGCCCCCACAATACCCCTAAATGGGCGTTTGAGTGTGGAAAAACACACATGTGACATGACTGCATAGTGGAGAGGGGAAGAGAGATGGCATCTCCATATCCTATGCCTGCCAAGAGAGAACACTCCACACCTGCTTTGATTTTGGTGATCTGGATAGTGTCCACTGGATCTATACTTACATGGATCCAGTGACTAGGAACCCCTGCACAGGGTGCAGTGATCCTTCCCCTCCAGGCCATAGGCCTAATATTGGCCCCAAGACAGCAGTGCTACAGCCCTGCAGCTAGCCTCTGGCTTGGGGGCAGTAATTGTCACACCCCTATCCCAGACTTGATGCAAGATAATCTCTTTACAGAGGAATCAAGAATTGCATTCTCTGTGCTTGCTTTGATGTACTTCTGGCCTTAATCTTTCTTTCTCCCAAAATACCAGCAGTGATTAGATCCACATTAAGGTTTCATTGCTCAATAACCGTTTCTTAAAAACTGATTTTATTGTTAACTCAATAACAAAAAAACCTTCTTGAGCCTGTTTGTTTTGTTCCTTCTTCCAAGTTTCAGTCTACAGTGACATTTTATTCCTGAAAATAGAATGGTTGACAAACTGCTGGGCAGAGCTTTCAATAGAACTATATAAACAGTGTACTGGAAAATCTGCAGTTAGAATAGTATGTTGCCAGTTTGCATGTGTAAGGAACATGTCATCTAAACAAACATCTGTGGCCTTAAAAATAAAATCAGAGAGCCTATAACCCGCAAACTATAAACACATATATAAAAATGATCTACACATCTGGTTGAGTCTAATATTGAAGTGTGGGTGTATCCAAAGTAAACCATCATTTTGCAGCATCTTTAAAAAGTTTCCAAACTGAAAGTAAGAGTTATATGGTAAGTGAAAAATCAAAGGGAAACGATTGTGAAGCAATACCTTTCGTGGCATAACTATATTCCACTGTCCTCCCTATTCTAGTGTGGGTGTATTTTCAATTAGTGTGTTCCATGTTATTTTCCATACTCCCTTGGGGCACAGATTAATGAAGAAATATTTTATGTATTATTCTCATGCTGCTAGAAAGTATGTTTTGAGACACCATGCTGCTTACATCATTTACTTTGCATTATGCTCCAATCTACCTGTGATTAACATACATCTAAGGAGAGCATAAAATCCCTCCTTTACCTGTAAAGGGTTAAGAAGCTCAAATAACGTGGTTGGTACCTGACCAAAAGGACCAATAAGGGAAGAAGAAACTTTCACATCTGTGGGGGAAGGTTTTTGTTTGTGCTCTCTTTGTGTTCTCTCCGGGAGAGGGATGGACCAGGGCAGGAAAAACACATCTCCTAAAGCCATATCTGAAATAAGCATCTAGGATTACAAACTGTAAGTAATCACAAGGAAATGCGTTAGGTTATCTTCTATTTTAGCTTGAGAATTTTCTCTGTGCTAAGAGGGAGGTTTATTCCTGTTTTTTGTAACTTTAAAGTTTTGCCTAGAGGGGAATCCTCTGTATTTTAAATCTTATTACCCTGTAAAATTACCTTCCATCCTGATTTTACAAAGGTGCTTCTTTTAATTTTTTTTTATAATAAAGTTTTGTTTTTAAGAATCTGATTGGGTTTTTAGTGTCCTAAAAACCCAAGGGTCTGGTCTGTGCTCACCATGATTACTCTCAAGCCTCCCCAGGAAAGGGGGTGAAGGGGTTGGGGGGATATTTTGGGGAAACAGGAACTCCAAGTGGTCCTTTTCCTAAATCTTTGTCTAACTCACTTGGTGGTGGCAGTGATACCATCCAAGGACAAGGAAGAATTTGTGCCTTGGGGAAGTTTTTAACCTAAGCTGGTAGAAATAAGCTTAGGGGGTCTTTCATGCAGGTCCCCACATTGGTACCCTAGAGTTCAGAGTGGGGAGGGAACCCTGACTCTACCTATTAACAAAATGATGATCTAGATGTTTCAGTACAAAAATGTGCAGACTTGGGAATAAATACTTATTGTGTCAAAAGGCAGCTACCAGTCTTATGGTGTTTTTTTTTCATGCACACAAGTTCAATTAATCAGATTTTTAAAGAATGTTGTTTTCCAAATAATTCTTTAAAATTCTGTTCTTGTCAGTATGATTTGATAGTTTACTCTAAATTCTCAGTGAAAGCCTCACATACAGTTAAAAATTCATTATGATGTAACTCCTATACTTTTGTTTGATTTATTTTCAAAGGCTGTTGAAAACCTGGAAAGGATTCAGAAAAGAGCGACGAGAATTAGAGGTCTGGATAATGTGCCTTACAATAAAAGACATATGAAGCTCCATCTATTTAGCTTCTCAAAGAGAAAGTTATGAGGTGACTCAATCACCGTCTATAAGTACCTATATGGGGAAAAGATTCTGATAGAAGAAGACTCTACTCTAGTAAAGGCATAACAAGAACCAATGACGGGAAACTGAAACTAGATAAATTAAAGAGAGACAAAAGTGCAAATTTCTAAATTAAGGTACTTAATCACTGGAACAACTTACCAAGGGATGTAGTGGCATTCCATAACTTGAAATCTTTAAATCTATATTGGATGTCTTTCTAATTATGTTCTAGCTCTACCACAAGCTATTGGCTTGATGCATGAATTAATGGATGAAATTCTGTATCCAGTGTTACACACGTCAAACTAGATGTCCATAAGGGTTTCTTCTTCTGGCCTTAAATCTATGAACGTTTATAATCTTATTGTTCAGAGCTTCATTAAATATTAGCATAGTGCAGAATTTACAATCAGATTATAAATCTGGTCATTAAATTGCCAATGCTTTGTTTTTCTGTTTTAAATATTACCATATAACCTAAGAGCCCAGTTGTCTGAATAATCTTATGTATGTAACCATGTCCAACCATGCTGCCCCATTATCCTCATTCTCATTTGTTGTGTCATGTTTATAATCTAGTTTGTAAATTCTTCGAGGCGGGTACTTTATCTAACAATCTGTTCTGCGAGACACCATGCACACCTTTGGTCTTGGTACAAATGCATAAGAAGAACTAGAAAAGAGGTTTTTAAAATTGCGTTAAAGCATGGGTTTGATTGTGGTCACTTGCTAAAGGCAAAAAGCCACTTCTGGTTTCAAGGTCAGGCATCTCTCCGGGATGGCAGATATGGCTTGCTCACTAATCAATGACAAAAAGTACCACTGCAAAAAGCCAGTTACTGTCAAAATCTGGCTTGAAGAGTTCATTTGGGTGCCTATTTCAGACTTGTGCGCTAAAAGACAACAAGGTTTAAGAGATGAATACTACCCTTCATGCTCATCTTTTCAAGTTGCACCCAAATTGCTGGGATGATAAAGAGACTGTGAAATTTTATCTGAATTCCCAGACTAGAGCCCTGCATGGGACTATTATTTTTAATCCCACTCCCGTCCCATCCCACAATATCCACTCACACCCACTCCCGCATTGTTTCTTGCATTTTTATCCTGCTCCCACCCACAAATCCTGCAAGAGAGACCAATTCCCCCATGCTACTAAAACAAACATATGGTCGGTTAATATACTATCTATCTATATAGAGAGAGTATTTTTTTATATGGTTTAAGAAAGATTTGTTTAACTCCTGTTATAATAGGCATCAAATCTCTTTCTACCCCTCACGTAAATTTAAGTATTAAAACCTTTATTTTTTTAAAAAGAAAAGCTTGCTTTACATTGCTGAAATTCTATTTATGACAAACTACTGTTGTGCTTATCATACAGAACATCAAAGCAAACTGCACCACAGTTTTACCTTAAAAGGTGTAGATTTTTTTAAATTACTATAAAAAGTAAGTTAAAATAAACACTGAAATTTTTTTAAACTGCTTAAGTACCGTTTTTAGAACTTTGAAACATACCATTCCAATTATTTATATGTCAGGATTATTATTGCTTTTTGAAAAATACTTAATGGAAAAACTGCTCACAGCACTTGGTTTTTGATAGAAATAAATTTTAAGAAGAGGCTCAAACTAAGTGATCGACAATAAGGTCAACTTAAACAGCAGATGTAGCTAAACTTGCATTTTGTTTTCCCACAAATTACCACAATCGTTTTTTTTTGCCCACCCAATCCTGCCTGCAACAAAATACATTTTACCCGCCCCTGGTATTATGGCAGTGGATGCTGTAGGACTCTATCTCAGACTGTCTTTTGAACAAGGTTTTTTTCCTTCGCTGCATTGTGTATAATAGTAACACTATACATTATTTCAATTGCCCAGCTGTGCTATATTGTATTATTGGCAGTGCAAAATAATAAAACCATGAACAAAGAAGTGTTTTTCCATTGAAGGGAAGTTAGCCTTTTTCCAAGACTGTTTGACATAGTAGAACAAATGTATACCTCTCATACCAGCCAAACTTTCCCCAAAAGGTGTATTAGTTAAACTGATTACAAGTAACTGATGTGATAACTTATTTTGACACAGTCTATAACTGGAAATGAAAAGAAGCCATTCATTTTGAAAACTTTCATTCAAATGCTCATTGCAGTGAAGTCAGTGGCAACACTGACCAAGATTGGACCTTTATACCCAAGTCAAAGGGAAGGTCAAGCATGTGCTATTCAAAAATAGAATTAGACACATATTGCAGTATTTGGTAACATAGTAATACTCAGGATTGCAAAGAGAATCTGCTTTACATGGTTCCTATCCACTCAATGCCTTTGACTATACAGGACTGTATCCTCCCATAGCTGTTCTTCTGATATCATGTTGTGCATAACACATAAAGGGCTATTACCAAACAGACTATAACATTGTCTGCAGAATTACTGCCAACATCTCCCCTTCTCTGCCCACCACCCATCCACCCAGAACTATTGTAAAGAGGCAGTATTTTACATTACTATCCCCAAAACACAACTGTCATTTTCCCCATGAAAACTGTAATGTACTGCTCAGTTTTATTATGAAAGTAGTACAATACATACCTGACTAGGCATTGGGGAAGGTACTTGTCCACCAGGGTATCCCACTTAAAGGAAAATTTTAAAACAAAGAAAAAGAAAAAAAGATTATTTCTTAATACAGAGTTAATATAGTACAATGTATCATCTTATTGCATAATGCATCACTTTACATATCTATCAACTTTGCATACATAATCTTCGTTTTCACATATGAAGTTGCCTATGATACTCAGCAAACTGCAGCTCTTGTGGAACCCACGAGAATGACTAGCAATAGCCAATTGTGAAGGGTTCGGTCACAGAGACCCCCTTGGGACTGTCACCTGATGTGCTGAGACTACCTCTGAGTCAGTTTTCTCTGACAGTTTGGGCCTCCAGAACCCTGCCTTGTTGAGCCAGATACGCCAGTCTGCTCCAACACAGACCCAGGGTCTGAACCACAGGCCCCAAAGCTGCAGACTTAACTGAAGACAGCTTAAGAAGTGCTCCTGTCTCCAGCACCCAGACATCCAGTTCCCAATGGGATCCAAACCCCAAATAAATCTGTTTTACTCTGTATAAAGCTTATACAGGGTAAACTCATAAATTGTCCACCCTCTATAACACTTCTGTGAAAGAAGCTTATTGGAACATCTCTGAGGGTGAGAATTTATAAATAATCAGTTTCTTACTGTATTAGGCGTAGACTTGTTTTGTTTTATTTTGCTTGATAACTTACTTTGCTCTGGCTGTTATTACTTGGAACCACTTAAATCCTACTTTTTATACTAAATAAAATCACTTTTTGCTTATTAATTAACCCAGAGTAAGTAATTAATACCTGGGGAGTAAACAGCTGTGCTTATCTCTCTATCAGTGTTATAGAGGGTGGACAATTTGAGTTTACCCTGTATAAGCTTTATACAGAGTAAAACAGACTTATTTGGGGTTTGAATCCCATTGGGAGCTGGGTGTCTGGGTGCTAGAGACAGGAGCACCTCTTAAGCATTTTCAGTTAAGTCTGCAGCTTTGGGGGTGTGGGTAAGACCCCGGGTCTGTGTTGCAGCAGACTAGCGTATCTGGCTCAACAAAGCAGGGTTCTGAAGTCCCAAGCTGGGAGGGAAAACAGGCTCAGAGGTAGTTTCAGCACATCAGGTGGCAGTCCCCAGGGGGTCTCTGTGATGCACCCCTTCATACCAATAAGCCACAGGAGTGCTCCAGTACACATGCTGGTAAGAAAGCATCAAGAGTGCTAAGCAATTTTACTAGTGCTGTGGGAGCTAGTGAACTCTCTCCCTTCTAACCCTTGCTCCCTATGACAAAAGCCAGGAAACTCAGAGCTAAGGAACAACCTGTGTTCAAAAGGAGCTCAACAGTTCAGTATAAAAGATATTCTAATCACTAAACTGACTAGAGTGAAGAGTAAATCACTTACAAATGTCTTAAATATAAATAGTGATACACTGACAATTGTTAAAGCAAAATACAACCAAAGTAGTCTGGTTTTCCATTAGAAAGCATTGGAAACCCAAACACTACATGTGTATTTTATTTTTCATATGTAGGCAGGCGTACATTCTCGTGTTGTGTTAACAGTGGCTTAACCACTATTAAAGTTAGTGAAGCAATTCTTAAAGGAACTAAGATGCCCTCGTAGCTGTCCCCATTCTCAGTCTCTTCTAAGTGCTGCTCTTAAGCGCATTTAAGGAGATAGTTGCCTAGCTGGCAACTGAAAATCCTTAAAATGTCCTTGACGCACATCATTTGCATTCACTGGGTTGCCTTTAAGTACCAGCCTACCTTCCTTTATACTTCCCCCTACTCCCAAGTGCTTAATTCAGTGTGGGTATAGAGATTTACTCTCACTGCTGAGCTCTGCACATATTTCTCTTGGCTATGCAGAAGCCTCTCCATAGAGGCACTGATCACTAGTGCATTCTGGTTTTCACAATTCATCAATGGCCTTGAGGATCAAGACACAACAGCATCCCAAACACTCTATGAAAATAAACAGCAACAGGAAGTGTGCCTTTTCTGATATATGTAGTATTTATTTAGATTTGAGTTCTCCTGTCAGTCATTCATTGGTCTTAGAAATCATCAGGAATTGTCTGTCCTTCATAAGGACCGACACAGCATCCAACTGCAATAGCTAGGAACAAAAGAGGGAGCTGTGGGCATAATTGCAGTTTCTTAACCTGGAATTCCTTGGTGCAACTCTTAGGTATATGACTTTTTTGGTATCTGACTAGGATGCGCACACACAGGCACACGCAAAGCCCCATTACCTACCTGGTATTTGTGCTGGTCCACCTCCCACATAGCTTTGAGATGGAGGTTGAGGATAACCACCAAAGCCAGATCCATTAGGGGGGACACCAAACCCAGGACCTGTAGGAGCTAGAGGGGAAAAAAGAAGTCAAAAATAGAAGTTTTTTGGTCATCTAATTTTAGTTGATTTATAATAAAAACAGAGTAGGATGCTGTGCAATGCAACTGAAACTAAAAATCTTTGGACACAAACAACAATATCCTAATAATTTATACAAAGATTTGAAAAGCTACTACCATGCCTCATAAGTTCAGATACCGGGTTGGAATAAAAGTGGTATATAATCATAACAGTTCTGATTTACCTTCATCTCCTTCAGAAATAAGTCTGTGAACCTTTCAGGTTGGATTTATTTAGGTGAAGTGTATTGAGAAACACATTTGTTTTTTTCCATTGGAATAATGTTAGACTTGGGAAAACACATGTATGTTTACTTCATAAAGCTTGCAGTTTGACCTCTGGTAATTGTCAGACAGAAGCAATAACACTAGTGGGGGGAGGGGGGACAGAGGGCTTTCCTGAGAAGCCTGTTATTCAAAAACTGATATGTCAGAGTTTGGCTCTGGGGCGAGGCAGAACAGGAAACAAGAAATGATAAATGTTTACCCAGACCACATGTGCTAGGAATACAATGCAAGTTGACAGCGAGTGCAGATGAGAATTATTTTTTTTAAATGGGGTTGAAGTAGAAAAGAGGCGTGAATAATAACGTACATTCAGTGTTTAGAGCCTTGCCATCAAAATTAACAAAACTTCTGAATCCACAGCAACAACCCTAAAATCCTTTCCCTAATGAAAGTTGTGAAAAAATGTATTCTAATATTATACATATATATATACTCCCTTTGATTAGAGCATAAAGCATTTGATAGCTATTAATTAAATAAGACTCAATAGCAAGAGAATAATTACTTACCCATTATCTGAAACTGAGGCACAAAGAGATTAAGCAATTTGACCATGGTCACACAACACGTCAGTGACATAAATGGAAATACTGGAGCTACTATGTAGGCTGCATTTCAGAGTCAGTTCCAGGGACAGACCACCGGAACCGACAGCTGAAAGACCTTCATGTGCTTCCGGTACTTTGGTTTTCTATTGTACCTGGTTTCTATCAGGAACTGGCTTCAATTAATTTTCTGATTTTTCCCCTTTGAATGTTCTCACCTAACCATGCTCTCTAATAGTTGCTCTTTGGCTCCCTCCACAGCTCTCCTCTGCCTTTTCTCTTTGAGCACAAACACTCACACTCACTCTCTCCCTCTCCCCCTCCCCACACCTGCCCTGGCTCCCTCCACAGCTCTCCTCTGCCTTTTCTCTTTGAGCACAAACACTCACACTCACTCTCTCCCTCTCCCCCTCCCCACACCTGCCCTCCCTATTCTCCTGTTCCCACAAAGTTCCACCTCTGCCCTGCTGCCAACAAAAACCAGCTTGCTGATCGTGACTGGACTGGTGACAAACTCTATTCCTCTTCTTTCCTCTTCCTACTCCCTTCCTCTAACCCCACTTAAAAACAAACCAAACCTACTCATTTGTTTGTATTCCCATCCCCTACCCTTTTGTCCATTTGTATCATTAAACTGTAAACCCTTCAGGACACTGGTCACTTCTTTCCATGCCTGTATAGTGCCCAGCACCTGGGCCCTTGGGTGCTATTGTAATATTAATATTGCCTACTCCACAGAACCAAGCTCTGAGTGCCAGTCCCCTGCAATAACCACTACACAAAGCTTACTTTTTTGTATTTTCTGAACCAAATACAGGGACTGATTATGATGGAATTAACCTGTGAACAGTGTTCTTGAATATTACCTCCGGGATAAGATGGCAT